AACAGAAACGTGGGTGAAGGGAGACAGCAGACGGTGTAAAACATGAATATAAAAATAATTTATAAATTATCAAGGGTTCATGAGGGTGGTAGGGTTGGGGACAGAGAGGGAAAAAAGAGAAGCTTATACCAAGGGCTCAAGAAAATATTTTGAAAATGATGATGGCAACATATGTACAAATGTGCTTGATACAATTGATGTATGGATTGTTATAAGAGCTGAAAGAACCCCCAATAAAATGATTCATCAAAATAAATAAATAAAAGCAAAAACCTGTTAATATTTTTACTTAGTTAGCCTTTAAAATCATACCACATTAGTCCACAAAAATAGTCTAAAAATGTGCATTCTGCATGGATGCAGATGTTTCCTTAGTCTGGAGATTGGTTATCAGCCTAGAGATCTCAGAGAATACGTGACTCATGCTGGCCCAACGTGATGCTGACAGCTTTAGTCCATGTACCTGCAGCCGAGTGAGTGAATGGGAGTGAAATGAAGGTGTCTCTTGAAAGGCAAATGTTTTTGTTTTTGTTTTGTTTTGTTTTGTTTCCTATATGCTTACCACAATTATGTTTTTCAAATTGTACATAAAATCCCTCCAATAGCATAGAATGTTGACATGGTTTTCACCTTGGCCTCTTCACTGGTTTTAGGATGCATTTGTTCCTGAAGGTCAAGCTAAAGAATGGTGCCAAAAAGAGTGGCCAGTACATTTTTTCACCTAATTGATTTCTTCTTATGAGTTTGAGATAATAAAGTACTTCATAAGTGTGAGATATTAAAGTGGATATTCGACTACCAATGCCAAGAGAAGCTATAGCTGCAGTTCTCCAAGGTTTCTGAATGTCGTGTGGTGCCTACACTTTGTCAAGGATAAAGAAATCCCAGGGGCACAGACGACTCATATGCTGGATAAGTTACAGGCACAGTTTCAGTGTGCACTATGAGATTACTTTAAAGCATTTTTCAGGCTATTATAAACCATCAGATTTTTAAATAAACATTGACTATTGCAGTGTGGGATTTGATAAATAAGTTATTTGTTTAGGGTCTTAGAGGAAAGGTAGAACTTTCAAAGAAAATGTAGAGATTAAACAATAACCTGGATATATAAATACGTGTTTTATTTGTAAAATATTTGGTAGTAGCAGAATTTCAAACATTTTTTTCCCTTCAATGAAAGGCAGTCCACTAGCATGGTTAAACCTTTGAGACTAATTTGCCTGATAGAAACCTTGATTCTACAACTGGTCTGCTCTATGCTCTTAACTAGCTCCTTAATCTCTCTGTCCTGGCTCATAAGTTCATTGGGCTGATCACATGTGTTAATCTATGTAAAATGCCTTGAATAGTAAAGACAGCAGTAACGAATGTGCTGTAATGAATGTGCTTAATGCAATTGTTAACTCTTGTTTTGCAGTATATATTTATTAAATTGTTGGCATTTTGTAAGGTCCATAGAGCAAAGGTGAAATAAGATACCGCCTATGCCCTTATGAGGCCCATGTCTAAACACACACACACACACACACACACACACACCCCAGGTCTTGTCAAGTCAATTCTAACTCATGGCAGTTTTGTGTGTGGCATAGTAGAACTGCCCTCCCACTCGGTTTTTAATTCCTGTGAAATTTCACAAGCAGATTCACAAGTCTTCTGAGGTGCTTCTCTGTGGGTTTGAACTGCCACCATTTTGGTTAGTAGTGGACATTTCACCATTTATATACATGGGAGTCACAGAGAAGTTCAAGTGCCAGCAAATCACATGGAGGGGTTCCTATGGAGCTGTCAGGGTACCCAGAGAAGTTCTTTATCCCTTCTCTTTGGCCTGGAGGTATTAGGGAGAGATTTCTAGAGATAATATTTGGGCCAAATCTTCTAAGTTGAGACATTTTTCTCCTATGTGAAGGTCAAGTAGAGGAAAGCATGTAAGGTTGAATAAGAGGAGGGTGTGATGGAGGGAGCAGGGGACAGCATAGCAGGTCCAGTTACAGGGAAATTGGTGTAACTTTGGTCCAGTGGGTTAGAATCACAGGAGAATCAGGGCAGAGAAGAAGAGAGGGGGCTACAGTTGTTGGCTGGGCCAGACAGCCATGGGGTGGGACTAGTCATATTTTTAAAATATCCACCAAATTAAAAAAAAAAATACCTCACTGCCAGTGAGTTGATTCCAATTTATAGCAATTCTACAGGACAGAGTAAAACTGCCCCTGGGGGTTTCAAGCACTATACCCATTTACAAGAGTAGAAAATGTCATCTTTCTCCCACAGAGCTACTGGGGTTTTGAACTACTTACCTTGGGGTTAGTAGCCTGGTACAATAGCCACTGTGATCTTTAATAGGTGACATATTCTGGGCCCAGCATAAGCATGTGCATGTCTCCAGTCATTACCACAATCTCACAGGTAGGTGCTGTCATTACCCCCATTTTCCAGATGAGAAACTTAGACCTAGGATATTGGTGTTTGCTGTATTCACCTCACTGAGAATTGGATAGCAGCAGGGGTTGCCAGCCAAGTTACCTGTCACCAAGCCCAATGCATTGTGGGAAATAAATTAGGATGCTTGGATTTGATTGTGAGTGTTTGTAATGCTGGCATGAACACAAGGAAGGGAGGACCTGTGTCCTAAGTAAAATTCAGGCTGTCCGAGGAAGCAGAGAGAAGTGTCCCAAATGCTGGAAATAGTTGCAGCTCCATCTCACGGCGGCCTAAGTCTGGGTGGCCAGTGGCCTCTGAGTGTAGTATCAATGTTCTAATGTCCACTTGGTTGGGTGGTCTTTTTTGTGACTGTGGATTTGATACCATTAGTTCTCACAGGAGCTTTTCTTGAATACATGTCAGCACTTGGGACAGTCACTTTCCTCCTGAGAAGAAAGTTACAAGGAGGGTCTTCAGTCTCAGAACCCATTAAAAACACTACAGAGAAGTGCTTAGGCCCCAATCATTTTATGTTATTGCTTGATTATGCTGTATGGCCTCCCCTTAGCAGCCAGATGACAAAGACTGACACAGCTACATGTGTCCCACCGGCCTCTCTCCTTGATGTATACCCCACCCCACATCATGCAAGAGGGCCCCCACTATGCCAGCGCTGATTGTGACTCATGCTATAAGCAAAAGTACATTTCAGTTTCCATTATAGCTGCACCATCCTAATTTTATGACATTAGGCAAACCCCTACACTTCTCCAAGAATGTTTTATCTTTCAAAAGATGGGTAAAAACTACCAGCCGACCCAAATATCAGCCAAAAACTGCATTAAAAAATGTACTGAACATCCTGGTCCACCAGGCCTTGAGGATGATATTCCCACTCAGAGCAGCCAGTCCACAGAGAAGAT